AGGTGTCAAATATGTTAAAATCTTTGAACGACTTCTTCTGAATAACAAAGAGGCCTACGGTGATGATATTTGGCCTTTAGCATGCTGGGATGAAGGGCTACCTAGTTTGTTCAAACAAATGACCTTCACATATATCCAAGGTCACAGGGGTCAAATATGTTAAAATCTTTGAACGACTTCTGAATAACAAAGAGGCCTACGGTGATGATATTTGGCCTTTAGCATGCTGGGATGAAGGGCTACCAAGTTTGTTCAAACAAATGACCTTCACCCATTTTCAAGGTCACAGGGGTCAAATATATTTAAAACCTTTAAAGCTACTTCTCAATAACCAAGAGGATGAGGGTTATAATATTTAGCCTGTAGCATGCTAGGATGAAGGACTACCAAGTTTATTCAAACGAATGACCTCAACATATATTAAAGGTCACAGGGGTCAAATATGTTTAAAACCATTATAAACGACCTCTTCTCAATAAGCAAAAGGCTAAGGGTGATGATATTTGGCCATTAACATGCTGGGATTAAGGACTACCAAGTTTTTTCAAATGAATGACCTTCGCCCATATGTAAGGTCACAGTGGTCAATATATGTTTAAATCTTTAAATGACTTGTTCTGTATAACCAAAAGGTCCAGGGTAATGATATTTTGCCAGAAGCATGCTTGGTTGGACGACTATAAACTCTGTTCAACCTTATGTCCTTGTTCGACATTCAAGGTCACAGGCGTCATATGTTTAAATCTTTTAATATGTTCTTATGAGTCAAACACTGATATTCTGCCTGTAGCTGTATTTTAGTCCATTTTAAAGATTATTTGTGAGATTAATACCAGGTGAGCGATTCAGGCCCATTGGGCCTCTTGCTTTTAATTGATGTTTATGTTTATACACTGTAATTTCCATGATAGAGTGGGTTGGCGAAAGCTGTACCTACCGAGCCGACTGCCAACGTTCCCTGTGCCTGAGAGACTGCGTGACAGTATACTGGAGGGTGATGATCTGGAGGCGGTAGTACCAGTTGTGGAGGAGGTAATGTTTCTTGTCTAAAGGGTGATATATTCTACAATTTACTAATCAAATATTTTAGAATTCAAAACATTATGAGAACTCCTGATCATTAAGTAAAGCTTTTGTTTACATGTATTAATTTTAAAGAGACATTGTTTCTGTGAAAGAAATGTTCATGGATGCCCAATCTCAGATTATGTATCTTTGTTACAGGAGCTAGGGTATGAGAATTACACTGCCAGATTCAAAACCCTGCTACACCTTGAGGAGATTCAGATGGATATTGACATCAGGGAATTTGACCTAGAACGGGTATTTATCAACATTACACCAAAGGCAGCTACTGGTAATATACATGTAGTACCCTCTACAGAATCTGGAACAACTCACATCAGTGTCCTCCTTATTAGGGCAACCAAAGTAACCAAAAGTGACCTATTCTCCTCTCTTTCTTTCTTTCTTTCTTGAGTCTTCGTAAACGTTACACATTATAACATCTCAATTATGACTTCTTGAGTCTTTGGAAGTTTTAAAATCTTGCTTCCCAATTGTTCTTAAAAACTAAACTGAGAGGATACAGTATTGTTGAGGATACAACTTCACATTGTGTACAGTAATCAGAGACATGTCTCTTCCCTTCATCATTTCTGTTTATTTCTGAAAACGTTACACATTATGACATCCCAATTATGATGACGTCACAAATACAAGGGACATAACTGTACATTTTGTGACAGTTATCAAGAATGTTAAGTTTTTTGCTTGTAATTTTCTGTTTCTGTTTATATTAATATTGCATTCATATACAATGTATCTTGCAGGTAAGCTTCAGACCTGTACGAGAATTTTTGGCACTGAAGGTTCCTGGTTTGGCTGAGGGTCGTCCTTCCATCCTGATCGGAGACAGGATTATCGTCACAGATCCTGGTGACTCCAATGGACCAGCTTATGAAGGATATGTTCATGAAGTATGATGAATTATTTCGTCTTATCTAAATATTTTCTAATTTTCTACACAATACCTTCAGTTTTCTTGGATCAATAAAACTCCTCTCCACATAGGACTTTTTTGTCCTAAGTGTAAAGGACTGCTTTTCAGTTAAAAAAGTCAAATGTCAAGGTCATTTGCTATGAATAAAATTAAAGGTCAAAGGTTAAGGTCACTCTTACTGAAAATAGAAGATGATTTTGTCAGTCAGTTCCACACATCCAATAGGGCTTGCTTTCTCAAAGCAATTTCTTGGGATTGCTTAAAGATCGAAATAAAGGTTATCATTACTAGAATACATGTATTAATAGGAACAAAGTTCCATTCAATATATATATATGCTAGATGACGTGTATATGGCTGTAGGAATATGTTGTGTACTTTGTACTTTGTGTTGAATTTTCATTACTTTATATCAGTTTGCTCCGAGTTTTGTTGTTGTCTCAATAAATATCAACCTAATATATTGTCATGTTTATGTGTTTAGCTGATGAGTGAAGATGTCCTGGTGAAGTTCAGTCAGAACTTCCACCAAACAAACAACGGCAAGGATTTTAATGTAGTCTTCACCTTCAATAGGTTCGTCGTTTTCTTCATTATTTCAAAATTACTCCAAATAATTATTCTACAGAACTGTAAAGCTTTGACTTTTCACAGTGGACTTTGTTTTGTGATGCCACACTTTCCGGAAATTTGGAATTCATAATTGCTACAGCTAAATGAATATAAAGGCAATGTTAATTTCCATTGTGCTTAAGTTTTCCATCCAAAGAATCTTAAATGTCATTTCTGTTACCAGGGCATCTCTGAGACGATGTCATCAGGCGGTATCATTTGCTGTTAATTTAGGAGAAAATGGTGAGTGAGTGATTGAACAATTTATTTTCCGACCTTCACACTACTTTGACCACACCCTTTGTTTTCATATTGTGCTATACTCTTGTTATTTTAGACTTTTATTGTTTGTATACTGATAAAAAATTTACTGTGATAGACTGTTATTCAGAATTCAGGAATTGTATTCAAACCATGATTTATACTGCAAATATAACTGGTATACTGTGAACTTAACTGCTAGACAGTAAATGATTACTCTTAAACAGGTACAGTAAATACGACTGCTAGACAGTAAGTATAACTGCAATACACTAAACATTACCACTATGCAGTAAATCAACTCCTGCATATTTATCTTTAAAAGTTAATTGATTATTTTGTATTTATTTAATGCATAGAGAATTTATTTTACTTCAGTTTTATTGTTGTGATTTTATAAGACCAAACAACATAAAAGTTTTCATAATCCAAGACATCAACACCACTGTCACTTTCTTCCGTATCATCATCCTATCTTTTCTCCAAGATGAATCCCTTTATCTCACTGACCTCTTGTTGGTATATAGTCAAACAATTACAGTAAGTACTGGGCTATCAGTATTGCATCCTCTTTACTCCAGTGTTTTTGCTTACTTTCGCTCTCTGCACCCCTGGAATTTGTCATGACAAATCAAAGGCTCAGGGTGTGCCTCATTGTGGATGAGATGAGAAGGCTAGTTAGGTCCTTTGATGTACATCAAAAGAATCTCTTGGTAGCCTAACAGTGAAATTGATTGGCTATGAAGTTGTGTCACTCGTCTTTCATTTTTAAAGGCCAGTGATTGGTCAGGTTTTTGTTACCCGAGTCCAATCAAATAGTTAGCTGTGTGCCTTCAATTTTGCTTTGACAAATTCCAGGGTTGCAAAGAGGAAAATTGATTGAAACCCCTGGAGTACCGAGGATGTCTGTATTGGTGTCCTATAGCAGTCTACCCAACTTGTACCAGGGTGCTAGATACCCGATCACTCGGTAGAAAAGCATTGTACCAGGGTGCTAGATACCCTAACAACTTGGTAGAAAAGAACAACTCAAAACAAAAGCTGTTAAATGAAATTGAATTACTGTTTTGAATTTATTTGATTTCTAGTTGTGTTTCCGGCAACGCTGTTACCGAAGTTGTCTCGGTTATTGACTTCAAACAAGAGCAGAGCAAGCGTAGTTCCTCTCAACTATCAGAAGCCTGCATCCAACAAGACACAAGCGATGAGCTACTATAACCAGTGGCTGAATGATCAACAGAAGGCTGCTGTAACCCGAGTCTTACAAGGACAGTGTCGCCCTCTACCCTACATTTTGTTTGGACCTCCAGGTTAGAAAAAGTTTGGCAAATATATGCCAAACAAGCTTTTCTAAAAACTTATATCCACTGGTTTATAAAATTGTAGAATCAAGTTGTTCTGATGATGATACAACTGTTCCAGTAGATACTTCCTGTATCAATTTAGTTTTTAGAAAACTGTTGTGATTTGAGGTTTAAAACGTAGAATAAGGTGTGTGCATGCTTCTTTCATCTATCTTCTATATAGTTTTACAATAAGTTCAATCATGACTGTTGATATTTGTATTTTTCAGGGACAGGAAAGACTATGACCATCGTAGAAACTATCATTCAAGTTCTGAAGAAAATGCCTTCGAGTCGGATCCTTGCCTGTACACCGTCCAACAGTGCTGCAGACCTCATAGTATGTGTCTGGAGATTTCATAGTTTCATATTTTTGTAGTTTTGTAGTTTGATATACACTTATCAGTAATAAACTTATTATAGTGAATGAAAGTGTATCCAAAAAATAATATATTGGCAAAGAAATAGAAACAATGTACATAATGGCATGACAGTCATTTTAAGGGAGATAACTCTTCAGTTGATTTGACAGTTGCAGATTTTACATTGGTTTACTTGATTGTCAAGAAATTGTCTTGCATTAAAATTATCCTTTTCATTTTCAATCAAGATTTTGAGAACAATATCCCAAGTGGGAAAATGTTGCACACAGTATAAAAATGAATTCTGATGGCACATAGACAGTATGGCAGAATCATGCTTATAGATGTATTTATACCAGCCTTGCATAAACATAGTAATTATAACTTTAAAGAATGTTCAGAGTACTGATAGATATTTTCATGTTACATACTACTCTGTGTTCATTACAATCCAAAGATGGGAAGGAATGGTAGGGAAACAGACATTTAACTACCTCACAAAAACCAATATTATAGACATTTAACTACCTCACAAAAACCAATATTATAGAAACAAAATGTTGTGGAACCTTTGACCTAAGGTTTTATCAACAAAATGTACAAACAAATAACGCCGTTCCAAAGAGAAATTCTAAAGTAGTGCATATTTCAGAAAATTTATTATGTATTGTTTGTGTAGGCTGAAAAAGAAGCTAAATGTATGCCGGAAACCCCAAAATATTTAAAGACATTTATTACATTGCTATATGATGTCAATATTATTGCCTGCTGTAAGTAGAGTAAAAGACTGAACATTGGGTTGCTAGGCTGAGAGGATACATAAAAGTGGACAAGTGAAAACATCTGATATGGTGCGGCTTAACGCTGTCCAGAGAAATCAGGAGGTCAGTATAAAAATACATGCTGAGTTTTGAAGCATAGATTAATATCATGAAACCATTGTGTTGCACTTGTATTCCTTCAATGAAAACTATTGCCTGTTACCTTTATATATTCTTATTTATTTTTAACATCAGTTAATTATTAACATGGCTACCATTTTGCAAATTCAGAAAAAACAAATTATAGTCTTGTAAAGGCTAATGACTATGATAATTTGATTCTGATCATCCTAAAGTAAATATATTTGGCAGAATAAACATGGCTAATAGTATTTGTGTCATTTTCAGACTGTTCCAAATTGTGTGCGGCCATACTGTTGCTATGGGGATAACCTTGACCTTGCCAGCCACTACCGTGTGGTTGTGAGTACATGTGCTTCTGCTGGGATACTCTACACCCTTGGGATCCAGGCTGGGCACTTCTCTCACGTGTTCGTAGATGAGGTTAGTTGTCACTTCTCTCATGTGTTGGTAGATGAGGTTAGTTGTCACTTCTATCATGTGTTGTAAGTAGATGAGGTTAGTTGTCACTTCTCTCATGTGTTCGTAGATGAGGTTAGTTGTTACTTCTCTCATGTGTTGGTAGATGAGGTTAGTTGTCACTTCTATCATGTGTTGTGAGTAGATGAGGTTAGTTGTCACTTCTCTCATGTGTTGTATGTAGATGAGGTTAGTTGTCCCTTCTCTCATGTGTTGTAAGTAGATGGGGTTAGTTGTCACTTCTCTCATGTGTTTGTAGATGAGGTTAGTTGTCACTTCACTCATGTGTTGTAAGTAGATGAGGGTAGTTGTCACTTCTCTCATGTGTTCGTAGATGAGGTTAGTTGTTTCTTCTCTCATGTGTTGGTAGATGAGGTTAGTTGTCCCTTCTCTCATGTGTTGTAAGTAGATGAGGTTAGTTGTCACTTCTCTCATGTGTTGGTAGACGAGGTTAGTTGTCACTTCTCTCATGTGTTGTAAGTAGATGAGGTTAGTTGTCACTTCTCTCATGTGTTGTATGTAGATGAGGTTAGTTGTCACTTCTCTCATGTGTTGTAAGTAGATGAGGGTAGTTGTCACTTCTCTCATGTGTTTGTAGATGAGGTTAGTTGTCATTTCTCTCATGTGTTGGTAGATGAGGTTAGTTGTCACTTCTCTCATGTGTTGTAAATAGATGAGGTTAGTTGTCACTTCTCTCATGTGTTTGTAGAAGAGGTTAGTTGTCATTTCACTCATGTGTTGGTAGATAAGGTTAGTTGTCACTTCTCTCATGTGTTTGTAGATGAGGTTAGTTGTCACTTTTCTCATGTGATGGTAGATGAGGTAAGTTGTCACTTCTCTCATGTGTTGGTAGATGAGGTAAGTTGTCACTTCTGTCACATGTTTGCAAATGAGGTAAGTTGATTTGCTTTAAGGTTCAGAGCACTTATATACAAACACTATTGTGTTGTATTAACTCTGTTTGAAGATGACATCACAATAATGGCAGAATAGATAATAACTCAATTTGATAAGAAACATCCCTTGTCCAAAAATAATCATGTTTAATTTGCCTGGCACAATGTGCCTGGGAACTAAAGTCATGGTGCGCATATGTTGATCCGATATCTTAAAATTATTTTGGCATCTTCTAATAAACCATGAAGCTTTTAGTTATAATTATTGGCTTGTAGCTTTCTGAGGTTAGGAGCTGTCAACTTTTCAAATAAATGACCTGGATGTACATCGAAGGTCACTGGGATCAGAAGTGCTGAAAATATCAGGGATCAAAATTGTTGAAACTTATGTATCAAACATCTTCTTATAAATCCAAGTGAAATTTACAACCTTCTGATAACTTCATGTGAAGTGTCCATACCATCGCTAATGAGTTCATATTTTGATCAAATGAAGGTAATGCCTATTCATCCTTGGAACAAATAAATTGAGCTAACTCTTTAAAAACCATTCTATCAAGAATGTCAATGACACAACATTTGGAAGCATTTCACTTGAAAAAAATTCATTTAGTATTTCTGCATGCAAGACACAGATCACTATCAATATTGGCCATGTTGCCAATGTTGTAACGGCAAGTATTCATATATCTATCTTTACAGGCAGGCCAAGCAACAGAGCCTGAATGTATGATATCCTGTGGCATGGTGGCTGGGGCAGATGGTCAGGTAAGTAGTCAATGTATACGATACCCTGTGGGATGGTGGCTGGAGCAGATGGTCAGGTAAGTAGTCAGTGTAGGAGCAGATGGTCAGATAAGTAGTCAGTGTATATGATACCCTGTGGGATGGTGGCTGGAGCAGATGGTCAGGTAAGTAGTCAGTGTAGGAGCAGATGGTCAGGTAAGTAGTCAGTGTATATGATACCCTGTGGGATGGTGGCTGGAGCAGATGGTCAGGTAAGTAGTCAGTGTAGGAGCAGATGGTCAGGTAAGTAGTCAGTGTATATGATACCCTGTGGGATGGTGGCTGGAGCAGATGGTCAGGTAAGTAGTCAGTGTAGGAGCAGATGGTCAGGTAAGTAGTCAGTGTATATGATACCCTGTGGGATGGTGGCTGGAGCAGATGGTCAGGTAAGTAGTCAGTGTAGGAGCAGATGGTCAGGTAAGTAGTCAGTGTATATGATACCCTGTGGGATGGTGGCTGGAGCAGATGGTCAGGTAAGTAGTCAGTGTAGGAGCAGATGGTCAGGTAAGTAGTCAGTGTATATGATACCCTGTGGGATGGTGGCTGGAGCAGATGGTCAGGTAAGTAGTCAGTGTAGGAGCAGATGGTCAGGTAAGTAGTCAGTGTATATGATACCCTGTGGGATGGTGGCTGGAGCAGATGGTCAGGTAAGTAGTCAGTGTAGGAGCAGATGGTCAGGTAAGTAGTCAGTGTATATGATACCCTGTGGGATGGTGGCTGGAGCAGATGGTCAGGTAAGTAGTCAGTGTAGGAGCAGATGGTCAGGTAAGTAGTCGGTGTATATGATTTCCTGTGGGATGGTGGCTTGAGCAGATGGTCAGGTAAGTAGTCGGTGTATATGAAACCCTGTGGGATGGTGGCTGGAGCAGATGGTCAGGTAAGTAGTCAGTGTAGGAGCAGATGGTCAGGTAAGTAGTCAGTGTAGGAGCAGATGGTCAGGTAAGTAGTCAGTGTATATGAAACCCTGTGGGATGGTGGCTGGAGCAGATGGTCAGGTAAGTAGTCAGTGCTGGAGCAGATGGTCAGGTAAGTAGTCAGTGTAGGAGCAGATGGTCAGGTAAGTAGTCAGTGTAGGAGCAGATGGTCAGGTAAGTAGTCAGTGTAGGAGCAGATGGTCAGGTAAGTAGTCAGTGTATATGATACCCTTTGGGATGGTGGCTGGAGCAGATGGTCAGGTAAGTAGTTAGTGTATATGATACCCTGTGGGATGGTGGCTGGAGAAGATGGTCAGGTAAGTAGTCAGTGTATATGATACCCTGTGGGATTGGGACTGGAGCAGATGGTCAGGTAAGTAGTCAGTGTATATGATACCCTTTGGGATGGTGGCTGGAGCAGATGGTCGGGTTAGTAGTCAGTGTATATGGTTCCCTGTTAAATAGTGGCTTGAGTAGATGGTCAGGCAAGTACGTTGTAGTCAGTTAATATAATTCCCTGTTCAATGGAGGTTGGTCTTTCAGAATTTAGGCAGGAAATTTCACAGGACTGATGCCCAAAATTAGCTGCATATGCTTAAAGGGCTTGTTTGCTAAATAGATCCCATTTATATGCGCCATTGAAAGACGGGACGTATTATGTTATCATGTGAGTCAAGTTTATGATGTAAGTACATGTAATAACTGTTATTAAATATCTTATTACAAGATCAAGTAGGACATTAGCTGCTGAACTAAACAACATCTCAAATGATCAAACAAATATTACTATTTAAAAGTTGATGAAGTTGTATACAGTGTACTTGATTATTTATCATTATAGATTGTACTGGCAGGAGACCCAATGCAGCTTGGACCTGTCCTGCGATCCAAACATTCGAGTAAATTCGGTCTGGAACTCTCCTTTCTTGAGAGGCTGATAAACATGCCACTATACCAGAGGAATGAAAGCATGTTTGCAGACCATGGTTGTTTTGATCCACTCTTGGTAAACTGATCAATTTCATTTTGTGAATATGAGAATGTTAGAAATTCTGATATAATTTAAGAGATTATGAAATGGACAAGCAATTGACCAGTTCTGTCAAACCATGTCCCTTACTTGCAATTCTTTTTGCAGAATAAAGGAGATTAAACTACCTGGTAGTCTTTATATTGATGTCCTTAGTTACAATGCACTTGTAAAGGGATGGAACTCTTGGACAAGAAAAAGATTAGGGAGTGCTTGTGAAGGATGGGGCAGTTATTAGGTCAAATGCAGTTTGGGAGAAAGTTCATTTACACTATAAACTTTGATTTGTAAAGTATTACTACTGAAGCTGCAGATTAAATAGGCTATCGACCTGTCTGCTATAACATTATGTTTCAGAACTGACATGTGTTTCTGCAAGAAATTCCCTACAGTGATGGATGTGCTATTGAAAAGTCTACTTTGGGAGAATGTTTTTAATTTTCTGTTTTTTTTCTGATTTAGGTGACCAAGTTAGTGGATAATTACCGATCCCACCAAGCAATTCTGTCACTGTCATCTCAGCTGTTCTACAATGCGGAGCTACGGGAGCAGGCAGACAGACGGGTGACACATGCTTTGTGTGACTGGCACATGCTGACAAACACAGGCTTTCCAGTTCTCTTCCATGGGATCAGGGTAAGTTCCACACAATGTTTCTAAACCTCTTCCATGCTTGGGATCAGGGTAAGTTTTACACAATGTTTCAAAGCCTCTTCA